CTCTCTCTCTCTCTCCTCTCTCTCTCTCTCTCTCTCTCTCTCTCTCTCTCTCCTCTCTCTCTCTCTCTCTCTTCTCTCTCTCTCTCTCTCTCTCTCTCCTCTCTCTCTCTCTCTCTCTCTCTCTCTCTCTCTCTCTCTCTCTCTCTCTCTCTCTCTCTCTCTTTTTAAAGTTTAAATGTAACGTTTCTCCAGGAAACTCACAGCACTGCTGAGAACGAGAGTGACTGGAGGAGGGAATGGGGGGGGGGCTTCTTCAGCCATAAGCGCAGCAATAGTGGAGGGGTTGCCATTCTCTTTGCGAGGGGCTTTACACCCTTCTCCTGTACGGTCGATGAGGTCATCAGGACACTTGCTCAAAATAAATGCTGAATTTGAAAAAGTTAAAATATGTTGTATAAATGTTTCTGCTCCCAGTGTGGGCGCAGAGAGGCTTTTGTTTTTTGAGGAACTGAAACACACTCTTAGCACCTGTGATAGTGGGGAGTATCTGGTCCTGGGGGGTGACTTCAACAGAGAACCCTGTGCTGGATAGGAACCACCAGGAACCGCATGCTGCCTCGAAGAGTGCCTTCATGAGACTAACAGAAAGCTTTGAGCTGTGTGATGTTTGGAGGCACTTCCACCCGGGCCAGCGGCAGCACACGTGGGTGCACTCTAGGGATAACCTGTTGTCTCTGGCTCGGCTGGACCGTGTCTATGTTTTTAACCATCACATTAATGTGAGCAGAAGCTGCTCCATCAGTCCAGTGGGGATCTCTGACCATTCCCTCGTACAAGTCTCACTTTGTATTAATCATGTTAAGTGTAACAGTGCGTATTGGCACTTTAATGCTTCTCTGTTGGCCGACAACCATTTTAAAAATGTTTTTTAATTATTTTGGGAAAACTACCGTTTGTCTAAGAGTGAGTACAATTCTCTTCAGCAGTGGTGGGATGTAGGTAAAGTGAAGATCAAGCAGCTTTGCCTGCAGTACACTTTCAATGTCACAAAGGACATGGCTAGATCTCTGAGAGCTCTGGAGAGAGAAGTGGTGGAGCTGCAGGGATTGGCAGACTCCACAGGAGAGCCAGAACATGTTGAAGGTTTCAAAAGTAAAAGCTCAGCTCTGTCTGACCTGCTGGGGTTTCTGCTCAGGGGGCTCTGCTCAGATCCCGGTTTCAGAACAACGTGAACATGGATGCTCCCTCTCACTTGTTCTTTGGTCTGGAGCGTAAGAATGGTCAGAGGAGGCTGATGCACTCGATCCAATGCTGGGCAGCTGCTTCAGGAGTCCGCCGACATCCGTCAGTGTGCTGTGGAGTTCTACAAAGAGCTCTACAGAACAGAGTTCCAGGCCGAGCCAGAGGTGGCGCAGTCGTTCTACGAGGGCCTTCCTAACGTCCCTGAGGAGGACCATGCTGAGCTGGAGGCGGAGCTCTCTGCCCAGGAGCTGCAGGAGGCTCTGCAGAGCATGCAGAGCATGCAGAGTGGGAAGGCTCCTGGCATAGACGGCCTGCCTGCAGACTTCTATAAGGCTCTCTGGCCAGTTATAGGTGACGACCTGCTGAGTGTGCTCAGAGACAGTCTAAGTAACGGGAGGTAGCCTCTGAGTTGCAGGAGAGCTGTGCTCACTCTCCTCCCTAAGAAAGGAGACCTGCAGGAGATTAAGATGGCGTCTTTTCTGTCGGGATGTTTTTAAATTGTCTGCGTATGCGGATGACATAATGACTCTCTCTCTCTCTCCAGATAAGCTGTTTCAGCCCAACATCTCTGTGTCCTCCTCCATGTACGGGGTCTCCGGGGCCCAGCAGCAGGGGTTCCAGGTGTTCAGAGGCTCCACCTTCAGCATCAGTTGCTCCATCCAGCCTCAGTACCCAGGAGGCTCCTTCCTGCTCAGCTCCTCCACTCACAACTACACCCAGCCAGCTGTCAATCACTCTGCCCACTTCCTGTTCCCGGCTGCAGAGCCCGCCCACCAGGGAAACTACAGCTGTGTTTATCACGTCTCTGCTTCTCCTCAGGACTCCTCCTCTGAGAGCCGTCTGCTCTCCGTCACCGTCACAGGTGAGCTGTTAGAGTTTACTGTAGGACAGAGCGTGATGCTCCCCAGGAGAACGCTGGTGAGTGTTTTACTGTGAGCCCTGAAGCAGTCACACCCTTACATCACATGTAGCTTTCCAGAGCAACGTACAATAAGTGCAATGAACCGTGAAGACATGAATCCAGAACACACATTCTCCAGTCAGCTGTAGTTTACATTGGAGTATTGCCATGAGTACTGACTGTTCAACAGATACAGCTAGCAGCTTCTCCCTACAGTCCTACTGTCTGGTATGAACAGGAGAAAGGCTTGGGGTTGAATGAAGATCTTAAGAAGATGTCGTTTATTGTAATATAACTGTAGAGAGGAGTCTCCATGCTGAAGTGGGTTCAGGTCTCTGTGTGTTTGCTGACTCTTGATGTGATGCTGTCCAGGTGTTCCATCAGATCCAGAACCTTTTATCATCCGAGCCGTCGTCCTGCTGCTGACTCAGCTGCTGGTGCTGCTGGTGACCATCGGACTTACTTTACTTACGGAAACATGTTGTTGTCCACTGATGATGATGACTGAAACATGTTGTTGTTCCACTGACTGAATGATGAGGTACTGAAACATGTTGTTGTTCCACTGACTGAATGATGAGGGACTGAAACATGTTGTTGTTCCACTGACTGAATGATGAGGGACGGAAACATGTTGTTGTTCCACTGACTGAATGATGAGGGACTGAAACATGTTGTTGTTCCACTGACTGAATGATGAGGGACTGAAACATGTTGTTGTTCCACTGACTGAATGATGAGGGACTGAACATGTTGTTGTTCCACTGACTGAATGATGAGGTACTGAAACATGTTGTTGTTCCACTGACTGAATGATGAGGGACTGAAACATGTTGTTGTTCCACTGACTGAATGATGAGGACTGAAACATGTTGTTGTTCCCCTGACTGAATGATGAGGGACTGAAACATGTTGTTGTTCCACTGACTGAATGATGAGGACTGAAACATGTTGTTGTTCCACTGACTGAATGATGAGGGACTGAAACATGTTGTTGTTCCACTGACTGAATGATGAGGTACTGAAACATGTTGTTGTTCCACTGACTGAATGATGAGGGACTGAAACATGTTGTTGTTCCACTGACTGAATGATGAGGGACCTGAAACATGTTGTTGTTCCACTGACTGATGATGATGAGGGACTGAAACATGTTGTTGTTCCACTGACTGAATGATGAGGGACTGAAACATGTTGTTGTTGTTCCACTGACTGAATGATGAGGGACTGAAACATGTTGTTGTTCCACTGACTGAATGATGAGGGACTGAAACATGTTGTTGTTCCACTGACTGAATGATGAGGGACTGAAACATGTTGTTGTTCCACTGACTGAATGATGAGGGACTGAAACATGTTGTTGTTCCACTGACTGAATGATGAGGGACTGAAACATGTTGTTGTTCCACTGACTGAATGATGAGGGACTGAAACATGTTGTTGTTCCACTGACTGAATGATGAGGTACTGAAACATGTTGTTGTTCCACTGACTGAATGATGAGGGACTGAAACATGTTGTTGTTCCACTGACTGAATGATGAGGGACTGAAACATGTTGTTGTTCCACTGACTGAATGATGAGGGACTGAAACATGTTGTTGTTCCACTGACTGAATGATGAGGGACTGAAACATGTTGTTGTTCCACTGACTGAATGATGAGGGACTGAAACATGTTGTTGTTCCACTGACTGAATGATGAGGGACTGAAACATGTTGTTGTTCCACTGACTGAATGATGAGGGACTGAAACATGTTGTTGTTCCACTGACTGAATGATGAGGGACTGAAACATGTTTCTTGTTCCACTGACTGAATGATGAGGACTGAAACATGTTGTTGTTCCACTGACTGAATGATGAGGGACTGAAACATGTTGTTGTTCCACTGACTGAATGATGAGGGACTGAAACATGTTGTTGTTCCACTGACTGAATGATGAGGGACTGAAACATGTTGTTGTTCCACTGACTGAATGATGAGGGACTGAAACATGTTGTTGTTCCACTGACTGAATGATGAGGGACTGAAACATGTGTTGTTGTTCCACTGACTGAATGATGAGGGACTGAAACATGTTGTTGTTCCACTGACTGAATGATGAGGGACTGAAACATGTTGTTGTTCCACTGACTGAATGATGAGGGACTGAAACATGTTGTTGTTCCACTGACTGAATGATGAGGGCCTGAAACATGTTGTTGTTCCACTGACTGAATGATGAGGGACTGAAACATGTTGTTGTTCCACTGACTGAATGATGAGGGACTGAAACATGTTGTTGTTCCACTGACTGAATGATGAGGGACTGAAACATGTTGTTGTTCCACTGACTGAATGATGAGGGACTGAAACATGTTGTTGTTCCACTGACTGAATGATGAGGGACTGAAACATGTTGTTGTTCCACTGACTGAATGATGAGGGACTGAAACATGTTGTTGTTCCACTGACTGAATGATGAGGTACTGAAACATGTTGTTGTTCCACTGACTGAATGATGAGGGACTGAAACATGTTGTTGTTCCACTGACTGAATGATGAGGACCTGAAACATGTTGTTGTTCCACTGACTGAATGATGAGGGACTGAAACATGTTGTTGTTCCACTGACTGAATGATGAGGGACTGAAACATGTTGTTGTTCCACTGACTGAATGATGAGGGACTGAAACATGTTGTTGTTCCACTGACTGAATGATGAGGGACTGAAACATGTTGTTGTTCCACTGACTGAATGATGAGGGACTGAAACATGTTGTTGTTCCACTGACTGAATGATGAGGGACTGAAACATGTTGTTGTTCCACTGACTGAATGATGAGGGTACTGAAACATGTTGTTGTTCCACTGACTGAATGATGAGGGACTGAAACATGTTGTTGTTCCACTGACTGAATGATGAGGGACTGAAACATGTTGTTGTTCCACTGACTGAATGATGAGGGACTGAAACATGTTGTTGTTCCACTGACTGAATGATGAGGGACTGAAACATGTTGTTGTTCCACTGACTGAATGATGAGGGACTGAAACATGTTGTTGTTCCACTGACTGAATGATGAGGGACTGAAACATGTTGTTGTTCCACTGACTGAATGATGAGGACTGAAACATGTTGTTGTTCCACTGACTGAATGATGAGGGACTGAAACATGTTGTTGTTCCACTGACTGAATGATGAGGGACTGAAACATGTTGTTGTTCCACTGACTGAATGATGAGGGACTGAAACATGTTGTGTTTCCACTGACTGAATGATGAGGGACTGAAACATGTTGTTCGTTCCACTGACTGAATGATGAGGGACTGAAACATGTTGTTGTTCCACTGACTGAATGATGAGGGACTGAAACATGTTGTTGTTCCACTGACTGAATGATGAGGGACTGAAACATGTTGTTGTTCCACTGACTGAATGATGAGGGACTGAAACATGTTGTTGTTCCACTGACTGAATGATGAGGGACTGAAACATGTTGTTGTTCCACTGACTGAATGATGAGGGACTGAAACATGTTGTTGTTCCACTGACTGAATGATGAGGTACTGAAACATGTTGTTGTTCCACTGACTGAATGATGAGGGACTGAAACATGTTGTTGTTCCACTGACTGAATGATGAGGGACTGAAACATGTTGTTGTTCCACTGACTGAATGATGAGGGACTGAAACATGTTGTTGTTCCACTGACTGAATGATGAGGGACTGAAACATGTTGTTGTTCCACTGACTGAATGATGAGGGACTGAAACATGTTGTTGTTCCACTGACTGAATGATGAGGGACTGAAACATGTTGTTGTTCCACTGACTGAATGATGAGGGACTGAAACATGTTGTTGTTCCACTGACTGAATGATGAGGGACTGAAACATGTTGTTGTTCCACTGACTGAATGATGAGGTACTGAAACATGTTGTTGTTCCACTGACTGAATGATGAGGTACTGAAACTGACTTGTTGTTCCACTGATCCTGAATGAGAGACTGAAACAGTTGTTGTTCCACTGACTGAATGATGAGGGACTGAAACATGTTGTTGTTCCACTGACTGAATGATGAGGGCCTGAAACATGTTGTTGTTCCACTGACTGAATGATGAGGGACTGAAACATGTTGTTGTTCCACTGACTGAATGATGAGGGACTGAAACATGTTGTTGTTCCACTGACTGAATGATGAGGGGACTGAAACATGTTGTTGTTCCCACTGACTGAATGATGAGGGACTGAAACATGTTGTTGTTCCACTGACTGAATGATGAGGGACTGAAACATGTTGTTGTTCCACTGACTGAATGATGAGGGACTGAAACATGTTGTTGTTCCACTGACTGAATGATGAGGGACTGAAACATGTTGTTGTTGTTCCACTGACTGAATGATGAGGTACTGAAACATGTTGTTGTTCCACTGACTGAATGATGAGGGACTGAAACATGTTGTTGTTCCACTGACTGAATGATGAGGGACTGAAACATGTTGTTTGTTCCACTGACTGAATGATGAGGGACTGAAACATGTTGTTGTTCCACTGACTGAATGATGAGGGACTGAAAACATGTTGTGTTCCACTGACTGAATGATGAGGGACTGAAACATGTTGTTGTTCCACTGACTGAATGATGAGGTACTGAAACATGCTTGTTGTTCCACTGACTGAATGATGAGGGACTGAAACATGTTGTTGTTCCAATGACTGAATGATGAGGTACTGAAACATGCTTGTTGTTCCACTGACTGAATGATGAGGGACTGAAACATGTTGTTGTTTCCACTGACTGAATGATGAGGACTGAAACATGTTGTTGTTCCACTGACTGAATGATGAGGGACTGAAACATGTTGTTGTTCCACTGACTGAATATGATGGACTGAAACATGTTGTTGTTCCACTGACTGAATGATGAGGGACTGAAACATGTTGTTGTTGTTCCACTGACTGAATGATGAGGGACTGAAACATGGTTGTTTGTTCCAACTGACTGAATGATGAGGGACTGATAAACATGTTGATGTTCCACTGACTGAATGATGAGGACTGAACATGTTGTTGTTCCACTGACTGAATGATGAGGGACTGAAACATGTTGTTGTTCCACTGACTGAATGATGAGGTTTAGGTACTGAAACATGTTGTTGTTTTTCCCACTGACTGAATTGATGAGGGACTGAAACATGTTGCTGTTCCACTGACCTGAAGGATGAGGGCCTGAAACATGTTGCTTTTTCCACTGACTGAATGATGAGGATCTGAACATGTTGTTGTTCCCACTGACTGAATGATGAGGACTGAAACCTGTGCTTGTTCCACTGACTGAATGATGACGGACTGAACATGTTGTTGTTCCACTGACTGAATGATGAGGTTACTGAAGACATGTTGTTGTTCCACTGACTGAATGATGAGGTACTGAAACATGTTGTTGTTCCACTGAGGCTGAATGATGAGGGACTGAAACATGTTGTTGTTCCACTGCTGCAATGTATGAGGGACTGCAACATGTTGCTTATTCCAGACTGACTTGAATGATGAGGACTGAACCATGTTGTTGTTCCACTTGACTGAATGATGGACTGGAACTGTTGCTGTCTCCCGACTGAGCTGAATGATGAGGGATGAACATGTTGTTTTTCCACTGACTGAATGATGAGGGCACTGAAACATGTTGTTGTTCCCACTGACTGAATGATGCGGGACTGAAACATGTTGTTGTTCCACTGACTGAATGATGAGGGACTGAAACATGTTGTTGTTCCACTGACTGAATGATGAGGACTGAAACATGTTGTTGTTCCACTGACTGAATGATGAGGGACTGAAACATGTTGTTGTTCCACTGACTGAATGATGAGGGACTGAAACATGTTGTTGTTCCACTGACTGAATGATGAGGGACCTGAAACATGTTGTTGTTCCACTGACTGAATGATGAGGGACTGAAACATGTTGTTGTTCCACTGACTGAATGATGAGGGACTGAACATGTTGTTGTTCCACTGACTGAATGATGAGGGGACTGAAACATGTTGTTGTTCCACTGACTGAATGATGAGGGACTGAAACATGTTGTTGTTCCACTGACTGAATGATGAGGGACTGAAACATGTTGTTGTTCCACTGACTGAATGATGAGGGACTGAAACATGTTGTTGTTCCACTGACTGAATGATGAGGGACTGAAACATGTGATGTTTCCACCTGACTGAATGAAACAGTGTGTGTTATTGAACAGGAGTGATGCAGGAAGTCTCACTGTGTGCTGTCATGTCTCTCCAGGCCACCAGGGGGCGGAGGCTGAGCCGACAGGAGGACATTGAGCTGGATTATGATGACCTGGGTGTTCCTGCTGAAGAGGAAGGAGCTCAGGGAGCAGAGTAGCAGCTCCAAGGAGCTCCTCTCACACACACGGGTTTATCAGCTCTTATAGCTTTTAACCAACGTTAGAAAATGTAGCTTTCACTCTGAACGTCACCAGCAATGTGTTAGTGCCTCATGTTTCCTGACTTCCTGTCAGCTCCAAGCCCATTGGTTCCCACTGAAGATGAAGATCTTTAAAAAACATCACAAGTTAGTTTTATTTAGAAAAGTCAATGCAGTCGGTGCAGTTTGAAAGCAGACACACCAACCCAGGCCGCTCAGGAACTAAGTCGGCCAATTAATGCCATATATTAATGTTCACATATCCTCTAGAAACAGTGTTACAAAACCCAGTGTTTGAATCTAATGTAGTGATTCCTGAGATAACAGGAGGAGCGCGTTACAGCGCCACCTAGTGTTGCATTTGTAGACCTCGAGCACAACAAGGTTTTTTTTATATTCAATCAACAAATGAGACAAAGTACAGTTTTTAAAATGTTACGTTTTTCTCAACAATTCATCTGCTCAGCGAGATAGGATATTTGATCCCCTTGTGGGTCACATGGGTCATTTCAGCAGCAGGACCAGATTTAGCTGAACAATATCCAGATAGGAATTGAACAAAAGTAAATAGTCCACACACTTCTTATTTCACAATGCTGATGTGTTTTTATTGACAGAAGAATGTTGCTTGATTTTGGTCTGAAGAGATTGTTTGTATAAAAATAGCTTTTTTAGAGAAATCCGATTATATTTGTAATTTTGCCAAAAAGTATAAGATTTTAACTTTTCTTTAATGTTCTTATTTCACATGTTCTGAGCTCAGTTTGTAATCATTTTCAATCATTCAGGATTTCTCTTACGTTATATCATGTTTTATGGTATTTTCTGTATGTTGTAGTAATTGAGCTGTTTTTCAGAACTCCACCTGTTGGAGAGCATTCCCACATTCAGAAGATATTAAATACGAACATGTTGTAATTAAAAATGTACTTCATTTTGTAGAAGTTTCCTTTTTGAAAGGTCATGTGCTTTGTTGTGTGATCAAGATGTGCTTGTTTTTGTATTATTGAGGATTGAACTTATTTCACAAGATGATCAATAATATGTAATCATTACTTTTTGGACTTTTATGAAACATTTGAATTCCTTTAGAATTTCACTTTTTACAAAGAACTCAGATTATTTTTGTGATTTAGGATTTTCCCAAATTCAGGAGACTAATTATTTCGTACTTAAAATGTTAACATTGTCCGTAAACAAGTGTTGTGATTTTGGAACCGAGAAATGTTTTTGCTTCATAAGAATTTTGAGTGATTTTGTTGTTTTTTGCTTTTCTGAAGAATTTAGCTTTCGCCTATTAAGGTTTTTTGATGTGGCTTTTTTTAACAAATGTTGTATTTGAAGATTTGTCATGATTTTGCTTAAATCTTGCATCACAAATTCTACTTGATTTTATCATGAAGAGTTTTGACCCATTTGGTTTCCATGAGTTACGATGAAGCAAATCGTCTTGAATTCTGAACACAGCAGAATCCTCCAGAAACCATGAGATGTTCAACATCACTGTAATAAATGCTGTCATTTGCTATGTACCAAAAAAATAATAAAACTTCTTTAAAATCCATGAAACTCTGAGAGTGAGCTGATTTCAAAAGTGTTTCTCCTGGTTGGAACATGATGTGTTTGCTTTGATTCTGAGAACTGAACCTCAAGGCTTTAGTTCTCACAGGTTAGTATTGAAATCATCTCTGAGTCAAACGGCCCTTGGCATAGGCAGTGTAGGCGAATGCTAAGGGCGCTTCCATCCATGGGGGGCGCCGGAACATTGGGGGGAAGAAAAAACATATGAATGCTATTAACGATATTTGATAACAAAACAATTTCCCAATTTGGGATCAATAAAGTATATTATTATCCTATCTTAACAGAACTAGGCAGACATAGCGTACAGCGCCCATAAACTATGGCAGGGGTCTGCAACCTGTTTGACCCACAGAGACATTTTGACCCCTTTTCCACCCATTCTTTTATCTGGAGCCGCAAAACATATCTGATAGCTTGATAGCCTATAACGTTGTATTGTTTATCATCGACAAAAACTACAGTTTGTTTGCATGTATTATTTATTACATTAAAGAAAACTGTTTACCTCTAATAATAAACAAATAACTCGTATAAGGAGAATAAAAAGAATACACAGGCCTACTTTAAAATAACTTAAACACAGCACTTGGGGAGTCCTCTGCACATTTGAAGGAAATAAATACAATTACAACTTTGAAATAGATTAAAACCTACACACTGTGAAACAGCTCATGTCAGTTCAACTTGCAAATGAAAGTCCACCTGCTGCAAATCAAGTCAACTTGAAGACAATCTTTGTTTCAACTCATTAATGCAAGTAAACCTCGTTGATATGACTTAAAGGTTCTAGTTGGGTTAACATTGTTTTTTACGTTGTCTAAGTTGATTTAACTTTAAACTCAGAGTTGAAACAAATACCAATCTGACATAGAGCGAGGAAACCTTATTTACCTCCTAGTCAAATAAACTCACATTTCAGTCTTATTAAAACTCACACTTTCAAGTTCTACATTTATATAACTCATCATTTCAAGTTAAGAAGATTGTAATTAATAATTAATAAAGATTGTAAAACAAGGGAACGGGTAAGAACAGAAAAGCAAGACATGGGACCTTTAAATAAACGTGTTGGTTCATTAGGAAAGTTATTATCCCCCAAAGTATATACATTTAGACACTCAAACATTCAGTTCAGGAAAGCATAAGGGTTTACCCCCTCTTTGCCCTCTGTTCTTTGTTTGGCCTGCTGACCTGACCTGCTCTGTACAAACTACAGATCCATCTCTAGGCTCAGCAGCCCTGCTGTCCCCCCATGGGGCTGAACCTGAACCAGCTGTTCTCCCAACTGAAGGAGGTGAGCAGCATTGTGTTGAATGAAATGCCACTGAACACATCTGAAGGGAGACTGGAATACATAGCCATGGGAAGTAGGGGTGCTGGTGGTGCTGCAGCACCCCCTGTTGGCGACTGGTGAACATTTGAACAACTGAGTGACCACCTAAATAAAAATGATTCAACTACATAACATAGTTATGATTTTACTTAAAATAAAATTAGCTGTATACAGTAGCATATAATAGTTATAATATATATTTGTATCAGTCAGGTGCCTTGAATTTATTTTCAAAATAAATCAAATCCGAGTCATCTAGGGTTATAGTCAATAGTTTGATTAATATTGATCAGAGTGCACAATAGAAATAACATAATTGAGAGAAGAAAAAGAGATATGTTATCTATCAAAACCCAGTTAGATTAACATTCATTGGATTGCACACTTTGTGTGTTTGTGTGGATATGTAGCACATTAACATTTCAATAGCACTTAATGACTGAATGGAAATGACAATAAATGAAAATGTAAAACGAAAAAAGCGATCATGAAAATGTTTCCAAAAAATGAATAAAATGATTTTTGACCACTTTGTTGTTCAGATATATCACATATTTGTAACTAAATGAAACATTAATTGAAACAAAACACGGTATAAACTGAAGAGTGAGTCCCGTGAGTTTCATGTCTTTTCTTCACTCCGCTGGGAAACTGCTCTCATGTCAAGAAGCATCAGATCAGTGCATCCGGCTTCCGGTAACTGCTAGAATCCACTTCAAGACACTGGTACTTGCTTACCATGCTGCGAATGGATCTGGCCCTTCCTACATCCAGGACATGGTTAAACCATACACCCCAGCACGTGCACTACGCTCTGCATCAGCCAAACGGCTCGCTGCACCCTCGCTGCGAGGGGGACACAAGTTCCCATCGGCAGAAATACGTGGGTTTGCTGTCCTGGCTCCAGGATGGTGGAATGAGCTCCCCATTGACATCAGGACAGCAGATAGCTTGCACACCTTCCAGACTGAAAACTCATCTCTTTCGACTCCACTTCGAGCGATAGAACTATTAACAGAGCACTTATATACTAATAAAGGACTGGCTTACCTAAAGCCAGTTGAGTAGCACTTGAAATGTTTGGCTCTATGAAACCTGATGTACTTTATTATTCTGTTTTCTTCAAGGTTGTGTCTTCCTGGTCGAATGTACTTATTGTAAGTCGCTTTGGATAAAAGCGTCAGCTAAATGCAATGTAATGTAATGTAATGCATGCACTGCATCGTCCAATCAGTGAGCGATACACAGTAAGGGGGCGGGGCGAGTGTCTGAGGATTTCATCGAAGGATGGTCTGGTGGTTCCTCGATTATAGCTCCTCCATTATCGCTCCTCGCTCCTCCGGCAGAAATAAGAGCCATGGGACGGTACTCAAGATGGCGCAGACAAATCAACTTCCGGTGAGACCGAGGACCGAGGAGCGAGGAAATGAAAATAGTCGACCTGAGACAGGGCCAGTGACTTTCTAGAATGGCGCAAAAAAGGATTTTGGATTTATTTTTTTCAACAAACAACCCAATAAAAAGAGTGGACCACCAGCTACTCCTCAGCCCACCACCTCTACAACTAGAGTAATATGACACAGAAGAGACATCTGACTTTGATGCATGTCCACAGTAACATGTTGGACAATGTGGATGTATCTGCTTTAATGAGGGTCTTCATTAGTGCCACCCCAGAGAGGAAGGCTACATTTGGAGTTGTGTGAAGCCCCAACACAAGGTAAGACGATATTTTCCTTTACAGCTGCTGCCGCTGTGCAGTGTGTTGCCTTGTCAATCAGTTCAAATTGAATTCATAGTTTTATTAATATTGTAAATAATATTTCCGTCTGACTATTTGTAATGTTATGTAGGTTTGTAAGACCCATAGTTAGCATGTGCAGCTGTTGCTAAGTGATGTAGGTCTATAATGGTTTATTAAGCCTAACAGTTAAGGTGAGACACCCCAGGTGAATAGGGTATTTTTTTTTTTACTTAAATCATGCAAAATGCACCTTTGTACGTCTTTTATACATGAATATGTGTCCCCGGTGTTCCAGGG